AGAAGTCGTGTCGAGCAAGATTAGCGTTCTCTCTCTTCGTACTGTATTTTGTTTCGTATTTTGCGGTTTTTTAAAAAAATACATATGGTTCAGAACGGATTAATCGTATTTACATTGAACCTTCTGGGAAAATTTGATTCGGGTTGCGACCAATTCGGGTTGCGACCAGAGTCGCGGAACGAATTAAGTTTGTGAACCGAGGTACCACTCTGATAATGAAGCTTCATCCTGCTTAGTTTTATCACTAGATGGAATGTAGCTGTTGGGACCATGTCAGGTAGGGTATGCAGAGCTTTGAGGGAGCACCTTTCATTGAAGTGTTGCCAAATGCAGTCTGTTGTAGCAAAATGATAAAATAACCCCCACCCCACCCCACCCCATTCCTCCTAAGCGGCTGAATGGAGTCACCACCTCAAGTAACCAACGTGGTTTCTGCCACATGCAGCAGAGGAGTCAAATCCACTTTGCAAGGCAAAACACGGTAGAGCTAATCTTCTTCATGCAACGTTAACATTGGGATGGAAATACTTTTAAGCTTCTATTTTTCTTTGGTGCAGCCCCTTATAGTGCACCAAAAATAAAAAATAAAAAAAGTGTGTGTACTGTATTTTTATCTCAACATATGTTCCCCAAAGACTAATTTGCAAGTAATGGCGGTATATTGGCATATGACATATTTTAATCTTAAACATACGACATATTTAATGACATAGTTTAAAACACATTTTATTCAGAAACATGCATTTTTGAAGGCACCTTGATAATCATTTCAGCTGAGAACTGCATTGCAAATTGGTGAAGTCCAAAAGCATAAAAAGAACTATCTTCTGATACGTGCATTAGTCCAAGAGGTGTTATTCTAATTGGGCTGCAATATTTGGCTGATTGATCAGTTGAATTAATCTATTGAAACATTTTGTCTGATTAAAAATGCATCGCTCAGTTAATCAGGAAGTTTATTTTGTCTAATTAAATATGCATTCTTCCGTTAATCAGGGATTTTTTTTTTAATTTTAAAAATACATTTGTTGTAAGAACTTGGAGGAAAAAAGTATCATATATCCTATTTTAGGAAAGTCATTTTCATTTCCCTCCCTTTACACATAGGTGTAATGTTTTTCTAAAGACTGGTTTTTATTCAGTGTATGTAAAGTAAATCATACACATTTTCCCCTTCAGAGTTAATGTGCATATATATGCAAATTTCATTGTTCATTAATTCCTTAAAACCCACACAGTAAAAACTAAGCTTTCTTTACAATCCTTTGAATTTTTAAAAATATAAATGTAAGCCATCAGAGCTGTGTATGCTTTGAAAATGATTTGGAAGAGGTGCTTTGGAATGTGTAGCAGCATGAGTGCAGCCTCTTTAAAGCAGCCACATCTTTTTCCAGAATTCTCCATGATCTTGGAAAAAAGAGATATAGCTGCATTAATGAATTTAAAAAGGATGCAGCTGCTTAAAATACCTTCTTGTAACATCCTCAATGGAATGTTTTATGACCCTGATCCCATAGCATCTGAGTCTAAGGGTCACTGATTTCCTGACTTGAGACCTTTCTTGTCCTATCATCAGACCTAGAAGAAAATAGTGAAATACTTCAAACTTAACTTACAGTCAACCAGCTTCTCATGGTGAATTCTTGAGGCAGTTTGGTATAGTGTAGAATAGTAGAATCTGGGACACTGTGGATTCTAGTCACCCCTTAGGCATGGAGGCTGGTTGGGTAAGTTTGGATCCATCACTCTCTCTCAGCCCAATCCACTTGACAGGGTGTTGTTGTTCAGTCATTAAGTCATGTCTGACTCTTCGTGACCCCATGAACCACATTGTGCCAGGTCTTCCTGTCCTTCACTGCCT